ACGAGCCGAACACGAGTTGTTCGCGAACAACGAGCCATTTTGACAGCCCTATACTTGGCTTGGCTCGATTACAACCCTAGATTTATACAAAAGTAATAACTTTTTATAACTGCGAGTCCAGCGAGCAATGCTTTGCACTTGGCATGGTTATTTATGGCCGGCAAATTCAGCTTGTGAGTTGAAAAAGAAGCATGATGTCCCAAGTGCTCTTGAATATCAAACAAACTTCATTACTTGATTCTCCTTAGGCTTTGTCAGTATGCAAAATGAAAATTCTATCTTCAACCTCTCTCTCTAAAATCCTCCTCCACTGGGGTAAGAAATTAGTAAAGAAAGTCAGCAATGTCTTTAAGTGCAATGTGAGAAATGTGCTGGATTTTGAACTCGATGAGTTCAAAAAACCATTTCATCAACATTACTTTGTGTTCTAGCTTACGCAGGAGATGCTTAAGAGCTGTCCATCGCTACAAGAATTTTGTTGGCTTGAAGCAGGTCTTCAACTTTCTTGCAATAGATACAAGAGAAAGCTTATCCATGACTGGATAGCTAAGCTCGCACCACAAGAAATTTTGCTGAAGTAATAGATGCGATCAAGTTTTTACATTGTGCAATCAAGTTGGGACGTGTTTTCTATCAATGAGGCGAAACATCAAGTATAGACACATTTTGAGGAGTAAACCTCAAAATTAAACCAATATAATAATAAGAAATAATAAATATCATAGTAAGATTATAAAAAGGTAATCTCTCCACACTTCCAATCAAAAAAATAATCTAAGGCAACAAGATTACAATTTATGAATTCAAAAGCCTTCCTCACTCTTCTCACTTAAAGTAAATTGCTTTCTCTACTCCATTATCAGTTGTGTCGATCCTTCCAATCTTCACCTCCATCTTCGATCTCAAATATAATTTTCTTCTCAAACCAATATAAAATAATTAAAATTAAAGTTTAAAACAATGATTATATTTCTTACTTTTATGTTGACTTGCATTGAACATATTTCTTTCATTATCATCAATTGTGATGGTATAACTTCATTTTTATTATATTGATGATTAAAACATTGAGATCTTCTCGTACAATTAAAATGGTATAACTTCATTTTCATTATCCACAAAGCATTCTTTATTTGATAACACATTATTGTAAACTAATGGATCTTCATGTTTATCCAAAATCATAATAGAATCCACTATAAACTATCATAAAATTAAAATTTTAAAATTGCCTGCAACCTAGCTTTTGAGGCTTATGCTTGTTATAAATTGCTCAAAGGCGCGCCTCAATCTCAGTACAGCATATGCTTCATTAAGCCAATGTGAGGCATACACCTCATGGCAAGGCATCTCTCAATGAGCAATTTTAAATAATAGATTTGATATTATTTTCATGCTTATGAGTAAATACAAAAATAGGTTTCCCTCCAGCTCGAGCATGCTAATAATTAGCATAGGTGTGAGTTTAGCTTCCAGTTGTAGAAAAGATGTCTAGTAGCTATCAGCTTCTACAAAATTATTTGACTTTCAAAATGGATTGAATGATGGAAAATTATTCTCTCGATCGAAAGATGAAGTAGCTGAGCCAGGCTATAACTTGTTTTTCCTTGGATCATGAATAGACTCAGGCAAGGCGGTCTCTAACACAACTTTGATTTTGTTGGGATTTACCATGATTCTTTTACTCGATATCACCTATAACCAAGTGTTTAGTTTTGGAATAGAGCATCACAATATTATTGATGGAAGGGGGGTATTTAAACCAAATTACAATGAGCATAATAAAGAAAAGAAATAAATCATAATAAAAAACTGGGGAAAAAAATAAACAGAATAAGCAAAATAGGAAAATATAATGAGAGAATAAGAGAAAATAATAAGTAATGAAGGCAAGGGATTGCCGTTATAATCTAATACTCCCCCTAAAGTTGAAACAAAAATGTCAGTCATATTCAATTTAGATTTGAAGTCATCGAACAAAGGGCGAGAAAGATTCTTGGTGAGAATGTCCACTAGTTGACTACTAAAAGACACATACGGAACACAAATCTCCCCAGACTCAATCTTTTCCTTAATGAAGTGTATGTTGATCTCCACATGTTTGGTACGCTCATGCTGAACTGGATTGTGAGAAATGTTTATTACGACCTTATTATCACAGAATAGTTGCAATAAAACGGAGGTTGTTATACGAAGTTTGCGGAGCATGATACTTAGCCAGAGAGCTTCACAGATTCCCATGGACATAAACCAGAATTTAGCTTCAACTCTGCTTTGGGGAACCATAGACAATTTTTTGATTTTCCACATGACAAAATTGCCCCATAAAAAATGAGCAATACCCTAAGGTGGAACGTCAATCATGAACTGATCTAGCCCAATCGGTATCTGTATAAACAATAATAGGCCGAGAGGTGTGGTGAGAAAAAAAAAACTGAGTCCGTATGACTTTCAAATAGAGGAAAAGCCAACACAACTTGGAGATGGTGTTCATATGGATCAGGCATGAATTGACTCACTATTTCAACAACGTGACATACGTTAGGGCGAGTATGAGCAAGGTGGATGAGTTTGACATTGGTAATGAATATTGCTGACAAGCACAACATTTGGAATGTTCCACATTTTTTCATTTGGATCTATAGAAACAAGAAATGGTTTACACAGAAGAAGATTGTTTTCTGTGAAGAGATCAATCATATATTTGCGTTGAGACAGACAAATACTCCAAGATGATTGAGCCACTTCCATGCCTAAGAAGTACCGGAGAGATCCCAATTCTTTCATTTCGAAGGACTTTGCAAGAATGTTTTTAAGGAATCCAATGCTAGAAGATTGTTACCTTTAAGAACAATATCGTCAACATAGATAATAAGGATAGCTACCTGACCATTAGAAGAATGTCAAAAGAAGAAGATGTGATCTGATTAAGCCTAAGTAAAGCCATAGCCTATGACCATCTTTGTTAACTTGCCAAAACAGGTCCTTGGGGACTGCATTAACCCATAGAGGGACTTTCGTAGCTTGCACACTTGTCCTCTGGAGACAGAAGAATCAAAACCAAGAGGGAGAGACATGTATACGACTTCTGTAAGCTCTCCATTCAAGAATACATTTTTGACATTTAGTTGGAATAGAAGCCAATCCAGATCTACTGCAAGTGACAACAAGACCCGAATAGTGTTTAACTTGGCCACTGGAACAAATGTCTTTTCATAGTAAACTCCGTCGGCCTTTGGATACCCTTTGACAAGCAATCGTGCCTTGTTGCGTTCAAAAAACCTGTCAGAGTTTAACTTGGTGCTGAAAATCCAACGACACCCTATAACTTTCTTACCCTGAAGAAGATATACGACGCCCCACATATGGTTCCGCCGAAGGGCAATCATCCCCTTCATTAGTGTCATTTTTCAGGCTGGATTAGCAAGGGCAACTGCAATAGTAGTTGGGATTTGATCCATCGAGGCAGTAACAAATACTTTGTAGGTGGCAATAAACAACTAAAAGAGATATTTTGCCATAAGATAGAGTGAGTATGTTTAATGGCACACCTATTACATGGAGAACTCATCTCTTCATTCAGAGGAGAGGCCGTGCTGAGGAATGTCGCCCGGAGTGGAGTCAAGATCCTGTAAGGAGTAGAGTCCGTCTTCATGAGTCCCTTGGTATTCGGATGATTATGAGATGTTCCCGGTGGAAATCGATTGAGTCGTTTCTAATTCGACCGTCTTCATGAGTCCCTTGGTAGGAGTGAATTTAGCCGAAGATTTGTATGTCAAATTATCATGAAGTTTCCAACACTTGTCCCGAGTGTAGTTGAATTTATGACAGTAATCACAAGTGAGGTGACCAGTCTGAGGTGGCATGAATGAGGGATAAGCACTATTGGAGATTAAGGCGGACGATTCGACTGAAAAAGTATAAATGACAAGCATGACAAACTCCTGCTTTCTTCAAGATGAGTCTCGATAAAAATTGTACGAGTTGAAGAAAGAGAATTCCAACCAAGAATGCGGCCCCGGACTTCATCAAAGCCTTTGTTAAAGCCAATAAGAAAT